CTTTACCCTCAGGGGCCAGAGCTGCCTGGGGACCAGGGACGAGCTCCCTGCGACACAGGTGTGTGCAAGGACTCCAGGGAGTCGTGGAGGCCCCAGAGCATTTCTAGCCTTGACCCCGGCCAAGTTGCCAAGTTACTTAACTTCTTTCTGCCTCGGTGGTCTGTGAGGACCACAATGAGTGAATGCATCTAAACTGCTTAGTGTGTGTCTGGCAGCACAGAGTAGGTCTATATACATGTTTGCTTTTTTTCTTTTTCCAGACAGGTTTGCCAGGCTGGAGTGCAATAGCTGGATCACAGCTCACTGAAGTCTTGACCTCCCAGGCTCAAGCGACCTTCCTCTCTTACCCTCCTGAGTGCCTGGGAGCATAGGAATGCACCACCATGCCTGGCTTTTTCTTTTTATCTTATGGTAGAGATGGGAGTCTCACTGTGTTGCCCAGGCTGGTCTTGAACTCCTGGGCTCAAATAATCCTCCTGCCTTGGCCACCCAAATTGCTGGGATTATAAATATGACTCACCGTGCCCAGCCCCTGTTTACTTTTACTATTTGTGCTTGTTTTCTTATCTATAAAATGGGTGAGAAAGGATGCCTGAGGTGGCCCTTGTCCAGCTTTCTCTCTGGTCCCAGTCTCTGGTTTTATTCCCTAGGAAGTTGCCCCTAAGCCTTGTCACCCTGCCTGACTCTATCTCCCTGGGTTTTTTCCCCAGTAAGCAAAGGAAGATGGGGTTGGTGGGCTTCTCAGCTGTGTCCTCAGGTTTACCCCCGGGTGCCTGGGGGATGTGTGTCACAGGAGCGGGGAGTTTCCCTCCTCAGATGAATCAGCTGTGTGACCCGATCCTCATCCCTGCCAGAGCCCTTCCCAGCAGGCGGGAGTGGGGCGCAGCTGCCCCACTGGGAAAATCCCCCAAATCCTGCCAAAGCTCTTGCTGAAGCGTTCTCCTGACTCAGCTGTTTCAGTCCTCTTTGAGTCTGCCTGAATTCTAGCCTGAGTCAGGAGTCGGGCAGATTCTGTCCTTCCCTGGACAGACCCTCTGGAGCCTCCTCCCTGGGGTCTAGGGGTTTGCAGCATATGGGAATGGGAGGAAAAGGAGTTGGTGGGGGCCTCAGTCACCCTTCCCCTGGTTTTATAAAATGAGCAGAGCACAGGGCTTGTCCAAGTTTGCCCAGTGCCCCCTAGGCCGAAGGCACTTCCCTGCTCCAATGTAGGAATGGGCCAGCCAAACAAGGCAGAACCCGCTGCCAGCCCGAGGGGGCTGGTTTTGGGGGGCCATTGACCTGGCAGGCGAGCAGTGCCCACTGTAGACCTGGAGACCCTTCTTGCCCGGTGTGCTTGGTCATTGCACTTTCTAGGCCTCAGTTTCTTCATCAGTAAAAAAGGACATTTGGCCAGGCGCGGCAGCTCATGCCTATAATCCCAGCACTTTGGGAGGCCGAGGCGGGCAGATCACCTGAGGTCAGGCCTTCAAGACCAGCCTGGCCAACATGGAGAAACTCCGTCTGTACTCAAAATACAAAAAATTAGCCGGACGTGGTGGCACATGCCTGTAATCCCAGCTACTCGGGAGGTTGAGGCAGAAGAATGGCTTGAACCCGGGAGGAAGAGGTTGCGTGCCATTGCACTCCAGCCTGGGCAACAAAAGCAAAACTCTTTCAAAAAAAAAAAAGGACTTTTTGGCAGGGCGCGGTGGCTCAAGCCTGTAATCCCAGCACTTTGGGAGGCCGAGGCGGGTGGATCACGAGGTCAGGAGATCGAGACCATCCTGGTCAACATGGTGAAACCCCGTCTCTACTAAAAATACAAAAAATTAGCTGGGCATGGTGGCGCGTGCCTGTAATCCCAGCTACTCAGGAGGCTGAGGCAGGAGAATTGCCTGAACCCAGGAGGCGGAGGTTGCGGTGAGCCGAGATCGCGCCATTGCACTCCAGCCTGGGTAACAAGAGCGAAACTCTGTCTCAAAAAAAAAAAAAAGGACTTTTGGCTGGGAACGGTGGCTCACGCCTGTAATCCCAGCACTTTGGGAGGCTGAGGCAGGCAGATCAGCTGAGGTCAGACATTCGAGACCAATGTGGTAAAATCCCATCTCTCCTGAAAATACAAAAAAATTAATGGGGTGTGATGGCATGTACCTGTGGTCCCAGCTACTCAGGAGGCTGAGGCAGAATTGCTTGAACCCAGGAGGAGGTCGCGGTGAGCTGAGATCATGCCACTGCACTTCAGTCTCAGCCTTGGTGACAGAGTGAAACTCTGTCTCAAAAAAAGAAAAAAAAAAAAAAAAAAGGGACTCAGTTTTGGCCCAGCTTCTCTCCCAGGTGGCTCTGAGGACCCAACCTCCCGTGTGCTTTAGAAACCAGATTGTGAGTCCTTGCAGGGCTCATCTATCTTTGCAGCCTCACCCCAGGAGCACTTCGATAAAGTGGGGGTTCACCAGTGCATCAGGAGCCCTGGAGGTGGGTGACCTGGGTTTGAATCTTGGCTTTGCCACTCACTTGCTTTGTAACCTCGAGCCAATTATTGAACTTGTCTGGACCTCAGTGTCCTCTTCTGCAAAACAGCAATAATAATAGAGCCAGGTGAAACTTAGATGAAATCATGTAGGTAAACGCTTAGCACCATGCCTGGCTCTTGTTATGAATAGAATGAGGAAACGGAGGCCCAAAGAGAGAGTGGCTTTAATTCACTCACTCATTTATTCAAGAATGTTCACTGGGTGCAGTGGCTCACGCCTGTAATTCCAGCACTTTGGGAGGTTAAGGTGGGAGGATCGCTTGAGCCTAGGAGTTCAAAGTTGCAGTGAGCCATGATCATGCCACTGCACTGCAGCCTGGGCAACAGAGCAAGACCCTGTCTCAAAAAAAATGTTTACTTGGCATCTGCACTAGGCTGGGCCCTATGCCGGATGCTGGAAGATAAAGCATAGCCACTGTTCTGAAAGGACCTGACACGCAAATGAGAGAAGCAGGCCGGTGGGAGTTGTGGGAGCCTCGGGGACATGCCTGGGACAGTTGGGGCGAGGAAGATTGCAGGAGGATCCTGGAGAATTACACCTGAGCCGGTGGGTGTGCGACATGGAACCAGGAAAGGAAGTGGGCGAGGGTAAGCCAAGCAGAGGCTATGGCACAAGCAAAGGCGTGAAAATGAGAAAGGCCAGCGTGTGTGCAAGAAAGTCACATGCAGCTTAACGTTCTTGGACAAGGAGTGTGAAGCAGGGAGTGGAAACTGGATGAGGCAGAAGGGTCTGGCAGGGGCTGAACCTGAGTCACCAAGTACTTCATTCATTTGTGTAATAATTTATGGAGTCGTTGTTCTGGCCAAGCACTGTGCTAGGCTCTGGGGACAGGGCTGAGATCTAGACACTGTTCCTGCCTTCATGGAGCACAGTATGGGCATGGGCCTTAGGGGCCAGCAGGAGACGGACATCAATCAAGCCATTACACAAGTCACCACACACTCCTGCCATCAGGGCTGCAAGGCAGGTGTTCAAGCAGAAGGAAGCCTGAGGCCCAGGGCTGCTCACCAGGTGGTGAAGGAAGTGCCAGACGGCTCCAGCGGGGTGAGCATGGGCAGAAAGGGGTGCCCGAGGTAAGTGGGGGCAGTCGATGGGCACCAGGTCATGTCCAGTGCAGGAGAGTAGACTCTATCTTGCAGGCCGCAGGGAGCCACAGAAGGGCTTTTGGCAGAAGGACATGGCCACTCTGCAGGAGGGATCTGTTGACCTGGCTGTGGAGAATGGAGGGGGACAAGGGGAGAGTGGAGGTGGCTTGGGAGAGGTGGGTTGTGGGCTGGGGCAGGGCACGGGGATTAAGAGGGGCTGTGTGTATGACACACTCAGCTACAGAAGAAGCCAGTGCTGTTGACCCCACTTGGGCATCTCTGCTGGATCCATGAGGTGCCTTGGCCCACTTTGGTCGAGTGCAAGGCACTGATGGTCTGAGGGAGGCAGAGCACCAGGCTCCAACTCGGAGACCACCCAGCTCTAGGGACTTCCCAAGGCTGGGCAGAGGGGGACTCAGACCTGGGGAAGCTCAGGGTGGGGAGGAAGCTGGAGAGAGCACTGAGCCAGCATCTCATGACTCAGCCACTTCCACCCAGTCAGCCCGGTGGCATCTCCGCTCCCCTGCTCTAAATTCCAATTCAGTGAGACTGCTGGAGGCTGAGTCAGCCCCGGCACGAGAGCTGTGTCCCAAGGGGCTCCCTGCCAGACACCCTGGCCCCCAACCAAGACCAGGGCCAGACACAGGGCTGGAGAGGTGGAGGGGTATAGGAGCCAGGCTCCGACAGCAAGTCCCAGCAGAGCAGGGCAGGCTAGTGAGATCACGTGGGTGAAAGGTGCTTTGTGCGTTGTAAAAAGCTCAGGTGAGCTCTCCTCGGTGAGCGCAGGGACTCACTGCCTGAGAAAGCGACAGGGATGCAAGTCTCACTCTGCCCACCTCATCATATGACACTGAGAACACTCCTTTCCCTTCTTGGCTTCAATTTCCTTGACCACACAATGGGGCCAACGTCTCCTAAAGAAGTTCTGAGAAATAATACACATGAAAGTGCTTTGCAAACTGTCCGGGGAGGAGCAATGGCAGGGCTTCCAAAGAGACCACTCAGGGTTGTGCAGGTTGTTCACTGCACAAGGATGTCCAGCCTAGGGTGTGGAAATCCAGCCCATCCTCTGCTCCCAAACCACATACCCCAGCCTAAGACTGCTTGGACTTACAGGGTTCCTTTTTCTAATATGTACATGTGCACCCTGAGGGCTAACAGTGGCCCCTTAGACGTTCCTGGAGGAGTCAATCCCTGGAATTATGGGAAATCACTGAGAAACTGATTTGGGATGGAGGAGAAGTGGGGCTGCTTTTGCAGAGGTTCTAATGACAGGGCCCAGCCTCGGCAGTGAGGCACATCTTATAGCTAGGGGCAGCTATGAGGGCCTGGCTGGATCAAGGGGGTAGTCTCTCCTGGCCCTGCCTCTCTCTAGCAACCAAAGCAGGTAACCACCAAGACAGTATTTTAAAAAACACTCAAGACACAGACCCAAGATGGGTTTTATTGAAATGCCAGGAGCAGGCACATGTCAAAGTAGGCAAGGAAGGGGGGACAGTGGTGGTGTAGGCTGTGTGAGTTGGCAGGGATGAGCAGGTCTCATGTCCATGGCCCTGGCATTCCCTCTGCCAGGGGATGAGTAGGCACAACTACCCTCCCCCCAAAATGGCATGCTCAGGCCAGCGGGGCCCCTACCCTCTGGACCATGAAGGCTCCAAGGACAGGGGCTGGAAGCACTGTTTTCTCCCTTGTGAGGGGGAAGGAGAGAAGGGGAGATGCAGGAGGAAGGGGAGGTATAGCGGGGATGAGCGTGGCCAAGGAAGGCTCTCCTAGGTGTCTGCACCCAAACCCTGGTCCTGGGCAGTGGAGAGGAGCAGCATTAAAAAGGGAGGCTGAGGGTTCGTCCCTCGGGAACTGGAGTGCCCCAGCCTGTGGGGGCTTGAGCCAGCCCTGAACAGAGGGCAGAAGTTCAAGCGGACTGAAGATGCAGGTCGTTCCCAAGTGATCTAGTCCCCAGAGCTGGAGGGTTGGCCTTCATGGGATAAGGAGGAAGACAGGAGGATCCATCCCCAGCATGGAGGAGGCAGAAGGCAGTCTCCTCAGTTTGGCCCCTCTAGGTCAGCTCCACATTGTTGGCACGGTCAAGCACTCGGGAGCCACGGGCACCACCCCCAAGCTGGAAACGGCTCTCATAGAGAGTGGGGCAGAGGTGCCAGCGGTTGGCCCGGTAGATGCCCAGGTAGGTGTAGACGTCAGGCTTGTAGGTGAGCAGGCACTTAATGCCTGCTGCACGGATGGCTGAATCTGCCTCCAGTACACCCAATCGGTCCGTGAAGTCATCTGTGTAAACACAGATGACCTGGCGCCCACCCTCCTTGGCCCGTGGGCTCACCTTGGCCACCTGAAGCTGGCCTTCAACCACGGCCCGGGCAATGCCAGCCCAGGCGTGGTCCAGCTTGAAACCCGGTGCCAGATGCATCAGCCACTTGCCCGAGAGCACATGGTGGGTGATAGCCAGCTGTCGCAGGGTACCTGGAGTGATGGGCCGCCCGCTGGTCTGCAGCGCTTCCCAGGCTGCCTGCAGGCCCTGCACGTCCCCGGAGTTGGGGCTGTAGCCGTGCCCATACACTGCAATCCAGCCCACAGGCTCTGAGTTGGGTGAACCGGGGTCCCCATAACGGGTAACTTGGGATGGTGGGTACTTGGCCAGCCAGGCATCCAGCTCGGTGGCAGGCGTTGTTCGGGCATCAAACACTAGCCAGGGGTCCATGTCAGCTGCCATGGCCTCTGCAGCCAGGTGCTCAGCGGTGAAGCCATCCTCACGGCCACCTGGAGAGTCCTCCTCTTCTAGCTCCTCACTTGGTTCCATCCTGCTGTGAGGGAACCGAGGGAAGGCGGAGTCAGAGACAGTAACTACAGGTGCTAAACACGGGATTAAACTGTGGCCCTGGGTAAGAGTTACTGTCGATGCGCCTCAGTTGCCTCATCTTTACAATGGGCTAACAACTGTTCCTGTCCCGTAGATCCGTTGTGAAAATTAGATACCTGAGGAGTGAGCGCTCCAGAAGAGTTGCTACAGTTATTACTATTCTCCTTGACTTATAGACAAGGAAACTGAGGCTCAGAGAAAAAGGAATTGCCCAAGGTCACACCCGTAGTGTGTAACAGAGCCGAAAGGTGAATCCAGGCGTGGGAGCATCGCCCCAGCTACACCTCCCGGCCCTGCCAAGGTCCCCTTTTCCGGCAGGTATCTGGAGCGCTGGCATTTAATGGAGGGAGGCAGAGAAGCGCAGGTTCGCGCAGCTCCCGAGGCCGGCTCTGTAGGGCCAGGCCTCCTGGGCAGGCGTCATCGGGCCCACTTAAAGACGACGACACTGAGGCCCAGAGAGGGCACGATCCGGTCCGAGGCCAATGGGGCGGAGCCCGGACTCGAACCTGGACTTGTTAGAGCCTGCAGGAGCGCAGGCTCCGGCCTTGCCGCGCCCGCCGCCATTAGCGTCCATGGCCCGAGCTTCGCCCCCGCCCCAGCCCTGCCCTGCCCTTCCCGCCGCCCGCAGTCACCTCCGGCCTTCGCTGCGTTCGACGCCGACCCAGCCCCGGGCCCGACTCCGCTCCTGCCGCGGCTCCGCGCCACCGCCACCGCGCCCCGCCCCCGCCACGGCCGCCGCTGCCGCCGCCGCCATCTTAGCGCCGCGCCGCCACGGGGCGGGACCGCCGGCCACAGCGCGGCACCGCGGGGCGGGGCCGACAGGGGAAGGGGCGGGGCCTGCGGGGAGGTGCTGCTGGGGGGCGGGGACATCGCGGGAACCCGGGGGTGGGGTGGGGGGCGGGGCCAACGTTCGCTCTTCTGGCCTTGGGGGCGGGCGGGAGCGGCGGTCCAGACCCGGGACTGACGCGCACCGCCCGGGAGGCTCCAGGAAGAGGGCACTAGGGCCCGGCGAGCGGCGTCTTAACCGGCGGCGCTAGGACCCCACGGGAAGCAGCGGGGGCGGAGCGGGCGGCACCAGGACCCGGGGGAACCGCGGCGGGCGGGCGGCGAGCAGGCCCGGGAGCCGGGAGGCTGCGGGTGGCGGCGCTGGACCCGACGCGGTGAGAGAGGCCTCGAGATGCCGAGCAAGAAGAAGAAGTACAACGCGCGGTTCCCGCCGGTGAGCACGTGGCAGAGCCCGGCAGGAGTGGGCCCTGTTCCCGGGAGGCTTAGGCCCAGTTCCTGCTGGGGAGGCGGGCGCGCCGCTGTGTTCGGGGGCCTGGACGCCCCGCCCCCTCCGTGCCCTCCTGTCCCCCGCCCCTTTTCTCCGGGGATGCCCCTTCCTCCCCCAGCATCCCCTTCGGGGACGGAGGCGACGGGGTCTGAACTCTGCTCCCCCACCTGCAGGCGCGGATCAAGAAGATCATGCAGACGGACGAAGAGATTGGGAAGGTGGCGGCGGCAGTGCCTGTCATCATCTGTATCCTGCCGGGGTCTGGCCGGGTCGAGGGGCGTGGGGGAGGGAGGCAGCAGGTCGCCCTCTCCCGCCCCCGCGTTCTCCTTGACGCCCCTCAGCCCGAGCGCTCGAGCTCTTCCTAGAGTCGCTGTTGAAGAAGGCCTGCCAGGTGACCCAGTCCCGAAACGCCAAGACCATGACCACATCCCACCTGTGAGCGGCGGGGCTGGCGCGGGGAGTTCACGCGCGGAGGGAGGCAGAGCCTGGATAGCGAGGGAGGTGGGCGGCGGCCGGGACACCAGCGAGGCCTCAGACTGGTGGAGGAGGGGCTGGGCGTCCCGGCAGAGGGAGCCACCTGAGCAAAGGAGGGCAGACCTGGGGGTGGTGTTGGGGCCTGGGCTCCAGTCTGACGTCCGGGGCCCCTTGCTGTCACTCGCTGAGGGTCTGGGTGTCTGGGCCCCTCCTGAGTGCCAGCCCCTCCCCACCTCTTCCAGGAAGCAGTGCATCGAGCTGGAGCAGCAGTTTGACTTCTTGAAAGACCTGGTGGCATCTGTGCCTGACATGCAGGGAGACGGGGAGGACAACCACATGGATGGGGAAAAGGGCCCCCGCAGGTGCGGCCAGGGCCTGGCGTACAGTGGGGAAGGCCAAGGCCACAGGGCTTGGGGTGGCCGAGGAGTAGGGAGACCTCTGGGCAGATGGACTGTACCTTCCCAAAGGGGCCGGAAGCCAGGCAGTGGCAGCCGAAAGAACGGTGGGATGGGAACGAAAAGCAAGGACAAGAAGCTGTCCGGGACAGACTCGGAGCAGGAGGTGAGTGAGGCCCCAACGCTTCGGCCTGCCCTTGGTGATGGGACCGGCAGCCTCGCCTCAGACTGAACCAGCTGGAGGCCAGCTCTCGTCCTTTTCTGTGACCTCTTTGTACCCCAGTTTCATTGTAAATTGGGGCTATGAGGTCTCCTGCTGTCTCTGTCACCCCCGGTGATGGGCTCTTGCCTTTTCTTGTCAACTCTGACCTCTGCGGTGCTCGCAGGATGAATCTGAGGACACAGACACTGACGGAGAAGAAGAGACATCGCAACCCCCACCCCAGGCCAGCCACCCCCCTGCCCACTTTCAGAGGTGAGCAGCCCAGAGCCATGGGAGGGCGCTGGCAGACTCACCCAGAGCCGGCTCACCCCTCCTGCTTTTCCTGGCTCCTTGGTCTTGCTGATTGTGGCAGATTTGGGGGTGGGAGGAGAATAACTGAGGAGGGCTTGAAGGCAGGAGACTGTTCTTCCGAGAGATCCTGTCCCACCCTGCCAGCGCCCATGGGTGGAGCCTGGGCCTACCGTGCCTGAACTGCCTTAAGCCTTGGTCCCATGCATCTGGAGGGTAGTGGTGGGAGGGAGGATGGGGGAAGGAAGGTCTTGGCAGCTGCCCCTGTGGAGGGCAGGTGGGGCTCAGGCTCGACTCCCCCCTGCCTTCTGCCCTGCAGCCCCCCGACACCCTTCCTGCCCTTCGCCTCTACTCTGCCGTTGCCCCCAGCACCCCCAGGCCCTTCAGCACCAGACGCAGAGGATGAAGAGGATTACGACTCCTAGCGCCCTCCGCCCCCCAGGCAATAGGCCCTTTTAGTTGATTTTTGTTGCTCTGGGGGGAGGAGGGAAAGTAGAGCTGTTCTTGAATTTATTAAAAAAATTAATAAAAGGGAATCATCAGTGTCTGTCCCAGGCTCTCTGCAGGATGTCATGGTTGCTGTCCCATCCCCCCACCTGCCTTCCCCACGTGAAACTGGGAGCTGGGCCTGGGTCAGTGGCAGGTGAAGCGGTATCAAGGGAAGGAGGTGTCAGCTGGGGAGGCTGGAGGCCCCAGCTCTGCTGAGCAGCACCAGGGCTGCTGACCGACTGAAGGGAGGTGGGAGAGCTTGCAGGTGCTGGGCACTCTGGGGACATTGCTGAGTGAAGGGAGGTGGGAGAGCTTGCAGGTGCCGGGCACTCGGGGACATTGCTGAGTGAAGGGAGGTGGGAGAGCTTGCAGGTGCCGGGCACTCGGGGGACATTGCTGACCCCCAGCAGCCTGCTGCCCTGCCCTGAGCAGCCTCTTGCCTCTGATGGAGACCGTTCTGCCCACTGTGGGCTGCTGTGATGGGATAAGTGGGACAGGGAACAGGAACGGGTCTTGGAAACTGTAGAGTCCTGCTCCCAGTGCAGTGAAAGGCATGTGGGAAGGAGCAGACATACTGAGATTATGCAGGGCCTTGAAGGTGGTTTTTGCACAGGGCAGTGGCAGTCTGTTCATCCAGATACATTTCAGAGCAGACTCAGGAGCTGCGCTACCCATAAAGCAGAGGTACTGGGTGAGGCTGGGGTTCGTGCAGGTGGCCCATGAGGGGCCTCCTGGGGCCCAGGGGACATTCAGTTTTAAAGGTCTACTGGCATGGTGGCATATGCCTGTGGTCCCAGCTATTCAGGAGGCTGAGGCCGGAGTTCGAGGCAGCACTGAGCCATGACTGCACCACTGCACTCCAGGCTGGGCAACACAGCATTACCCCGTCTCAAAAAGAAAAATCTCAAAAAATATATATATGTATATATGTACGTATAATTTGTTTCTTAACAAACTCACTGGTTTTCTTGTGGGCACTGGTGGCAGCAGGGAACCAACAGAAGTCTGGGTGAGGGTGATGGCAGCTGGAGCAGGGTGAGGTAGGGGCACAGTGAGTGGTGGGCAGGCTTGAGTCTGTGCTGGCCTCGGCCTTGAGCATGGAGATGGCTGGCTGGACATGGAGGTTGAGGGGATTGTTAAGGGTGACCCCCGGGTTTCTTTCTGCAGTGGCTTTGGTGGGCAGGGGCTCCTTCCCTGCTGGGGGCCACAGGGAGAAGAACAGGGTTCGGACTGAAGATCAGTCTGGCTGTGATGAATCAGGGGTGCCTGTGAGGCCGCTGAGGGGAGGTGCCTAGTAGGTGTGTGAACATAGCGAGACAAAGATGCATGTGAGCCTCAAAAGCAGGTGACCTCACTAAGCATGGGGCTCTGGAGCAGGTCACCCAAGGAGACGAGGGTGGCCACAAGCTGGGCCACCCAGGATCCACAGTGGTACCCACCCAGGTTTGTGTAGAAGCAGGGAGAGGTCAATTATCAGATGTCGTGGACAGGAGGTGGTGCCTGCGAGCTGCCCCTCAGCTTTCCTGGAGCTTCTGCCAGTGCTGCTTGGGCCTTGGTGGCGGTTGGAGGGGGCGAGGGGGCTGGAGGTAAGAGACCCTGAGGCGTGTGAAAGCGGTAGTTAGAGATCCCAACCAGAGACTGCTCAGAGTATGGGGCACCAGAGTTGGGGGTGGTTTGTTTGTTTATGTATATATATTTACATTATGTGTTACATATATATAAATTTCTCATACTATATGGATGTATGGGGGTGGTTTTTAGATGGCAGGAATGCAAACTTTTAGAGAGAGAGTGGCTGCAGGGACAGGATGGGAGAGAATTGATAGGGTGAGGTAGGGGAACCTCAGGCCAACCCCAACCTGCCAAGGGATAGGCAGTGAGTGGGTTTTGGGGAGAGGATTGAGAACTTTTTTTTTTTTTCAATTTGAGATGGAGTCACTCTTTCATCCAGGCTGGAGTGCAGTGGTGTGATCTTGGCTCACGGCAGCTTCCACTTCCTGGGTTCAAGAGATTCTCCTGCCTCAGCCTCCCAAGTAGCTGGGATTACAGGCACCCCTCACCACTCCTGCCTAATTTTTGTATTTTTGCTAGAGACAGGGTTTAGCCATGTTGGCCAGGTTGGTCTCAAACTCCTGACCTCAAGTGATCCGCCTGACCTCGCCTCCCAAAGTGTTGGGATTACAGGCGTGAGCCACCTCGCCCAGCCAGAGGTAACACTTTTTTTTATTTAAATTTGTTTGTTTTGTTTTGTTTTAGAGCGAGGGCCTCTCTTTGTTGCCAAGACTAGCATGATCATGGCTCACTGCAGCTTTCTGGGCTCAAGGGATCCTCCCACCTCATCCTCCAGAGTAGCTGGGACTATAGGCGTGTATTGTTTGTGTGTGCGCGCGCATGTGTAGAGATGAGGTCTCAGTATGTTGCTCTGGCTGGTCTCGAACTCATGGTCTCAAGTGATCCTCCCACCTTGGCCTTCCAACACGCTGGGCTTACAGGCGTGAGCTACTGCACCTGGCTAGTTTTTGCAGTTTTTATCTTCCCAGGTCTCTGATTTCTCTGTGAAGCAGGGGGCGGGTCTCCTTCCCTGAGTGAGGGGCCCAAAAAAGGAGAAGATGGGTTGAAACAGCC